GTTTTATTTTGTTTTGAATAAATTTGAAATAGATTTGCAAGCTTGAACACAAGTAAAATATTAAGTATCCATACGGCCAATTTCGTGTTTTAACGTTTTCGCGTTATCGCCTTTGTATTTTCGAAGGCGAAATTGTGAAAGCGAAACTGACACGAAAAAACAAAAGCGAAACCACGATTATGCGATTTCGCCGCGTTTTTGCATTTTTCGCGATTTTGCGTTTGTCAATTCGCCGTTTCAGAATCTAATGGATTTTGGTAATATTTTCAAAAGCGTACACTAAAACGTTGTCATTGGTTGATAATGTCATAAACAATGAAAATCGACCAATAACGAGACGTTATTTTCATTTTGGGTACTAACAATAAAGTTACCCACAGTCCTTTAGATTCTGAAACGACGCCGGAATTACTGTCCACTTCTATCAATTATCTCGTATCTTTTGACTGATTGGATAAAGATAATAATTTTAATAAACAATTTGAAGATAACCTGACCATGCTGACTGTATTATGTTTAAGTACTTACAATGAGTACTTGCGTACGTAAACTACTTGGTAATGATAACGGGTAGCACTTGTCAGTTTTATTTTCTTACAGGTGCCCCTGTGAGCCAAAAAAGTGTCCTCTGAAAAAGTGTCCATCATGGCAATTTTTCACAGAAAAGGTATATTTAAATGTGTCCGATGCTGTGAAAAAGTGTCCATTCAATTGGACATAATTTCATAATAAAATACTATTACATTCCGTCCTGCAAGGTTGATTTTCAATTAGAGGACACCTTTTCACAGTAAAAAGTGTCCTTTAAAGAGAGATAATAAAAAAGTAACTGAAATGTTTTGGCTATATTTAATTTTCTATATACTAAAACCATAGATGTATAAACCCATATACATGTACATCTATGCTAAAACAAACCAATTAAGAACCTGTTATAATTTGATAAAAACACAAAATGGAAGCTAGGTGTTGAATTCCAAAGCATTTTCAATTATAAAGATGTCGACAAAAAGTATCCACCAGCCTCAACTGTCACAACCCCTATTAAAAGAAATGCCAAATGAAGAAAGACACTTTTTCATATGAAGTATTGTCCTTTCTTTGAAGGACACTTTTTCACATCTGTGGACACAATTTCATAGGTAAATATCGTCCGGACAATATTTCATAATAACATTAAGTCCGTGGACACAATTTACTTTGAAATAGTGTCCGGTGGACATAGTTTCATGGCGGACAATATTTAATCATACACCCCCTTCTGAATCTGACAAGCAGTGATGCGTTATTTTTGATACTGAGTATATTAGTCTTCATGTGTAGTCTCGTCACGTGAGTCTCATAAATACCAGGGTTAATATACAGGTCGTACAACAAAAAAGCACATGCTCGTGAACGACTGTAAATGTTTTTGAACGTTGGACAATACGGGGTTATATGTAGGACTACAGGACTGGTACATAACTGATCATAACTAACAAGAAGATTTGATGCCCACTTTTTACTTTAACCCTTGGAATTAGAAATCAAAAGTAATGCATTGTAGATCAATGATATAATCAACTGATCAAATAACATCCTTCAGATGTTCACAAGACATAAATATGTCCCCATGACCTTGGTTCAACACAGGCAGTTGGCTCTGAAAAAAATTTACCGGTAACTTTTTAGAGACAACTGCCTATGGTTTATAAATATACATCTATGGTCTGTCAGACATCTGTTTTGGGGTGAATTTGAATTTAGCATCTAATAAGCGTCTTCAAACTGCAAATCGTACTGGTAAACCAAATTTCAGTGGATTTAAAATGGCATCATTTTGAGATCTTTGTCAATAACATTTAGACATGTGGATTAAGATTCTAAAACATGCATAACTATTTAACCAGGTCAGTGTTGAAAAGGAATACATGTACGGTATGTTAATATAATGTTTGCATAATTTTGTTGTTCATTAATATGATCAATCATTTATTTATTTCTTTCTTTTTTGCCTGCCAGTCTGTATTAACAGGTTTGAACAAACATTTCCTTAAAATAAACAAGGAACATCATCTAGCAGGAGTTAATGAATGATGAAACTTCTGTAATAAATTTCTATATCTGCGACATAAAAATTTAGTATGGGTTATTCATGTATATAATTTGTCCACCATGTTAGCATACATTTTTGTACTTTGCAAATACAACTTCTGTTTAAACAATATTTCAGAGTTGGAAATGCTACCATAAGTTCAAGTTGGCCTTCCAGTATATTTTTTTTGAACAGTACATGTTTGGGATGTTAATAGAAGATTTACTATAAACAAATAACTAGAGTTACCTCCCTTTATTCAGTATTTCTTTCCAGTAAAATTTTTAAAACTGTTGAACTCAAATGAACAAAATTAATCATCTATAATACAAATGTACTGAAATTTATTTATATAATACTTATAAATTTGGGCCAGGATTACATTAACAAGACAGTTAGCACTTGCATTTTGGATTTACAGCTTAAAAATGCCAGAAAACACATGTATATGTATTATATATATCAGGTTAGACTGGTTAAATATAATTTGAAAACTTTCTCTTTTTTTCATGATCTTGAAATTGAATACTATGAAATTACAGCTAAATGTATGCTTCATTTATAAAAATGAGAATGGAAATAAATTGATTCTTGCTTAAAAATTGTTGTTTTAAATCAAGAAAAAGGCATCCATTGTTGAGGTGATAGGCTGTTAATATTGTTAGCTAAAATTGAAAAAGGAAAATTAAATTTTAACTGGGTTTATTAGATCTGTGGGATTAATATTTTCTAGAAAACAAAGGTTTATTGAATTGTCACATGTAGTTTCCAGCCTTTCTATATGAAACCCATTTGTTCTACATGTAGATCTGCTCTTGTAGTTATTTAAATTTTTAAAACAAATTTAAAGCATTGGTTGCATTGAAATCTGAAATTTTCAAAATAGAATAAAAACCTCCATTTTACATGTAAAACAAATCCTGTATATTCACTCCTTTGATATGACAAAGGTTTACTAAGTACTAAGATGTTATAAAGGAAACAAAGATGTGAGAATGAAAAGAAAAAAAGACATAGTTCATTTGCAGTTTTACTTTATTTACATTAAAGGTCGATGAAATAAAAAGAATAACTATACTCTGTCCATTAAGACCATATCATACAAAACCCCACACACAAATGATTCCATGCAGCTACCAACAGGGTAACCATTAACTTCATGACAAAAAAAGACAGCACATAATTTGGTAAGCTTGACATAATGGTATTGCTTTATAGATTTTAGGTGCCAAAGAATTAAGCAAGCAAAACTCGATTTAAAGATGTACCTACTAACTTCAATTACCTAATTCATTATTATTTTTCTAATTGGGGTGCAGAGATGGTAAAGCATGTTTCTACCAGATCAATCTTTAATATTTCTGCAGTAAAAATAAGAAGATACCAAAAGAGCCATGCAAAACTGTAAGTTAATATTAAAGAACACAACACCATGTTTTTTACAAATATATTTTATAGATATACTGATCTTCAAGGTCTAAAACATTTTAGACCTACATGTATCCAAATCAAGTGATTTTGGTATGACTATTTGATGTAGCTATTGAGAGACTATCATTATCTTTATCAATTTTGCAATTTGTATACCCTACTCCCAAGAAACCCAAACAAATATCCACCATATTGCCATAGAACATGGAAATTTATGAAAACTGGGAACAATCTACCCTTTAGAGCTTCTTAAGTGGAGAAACTTATTTGATTTCTATAGCAATTATCAACAAGATATCCTAAGCAGAAGTGTAAACAAATGGTTTCTGGACAATAACTTGGAACTGACAATCACTTGGATTGAGACTAATATAACTTTCCAACATTAAGTTGCTTTGGAATACTGATTGAGTCAAGCGACCCAACTGCACAACGTACAGTCTTAACAATTAACAAGTATTGATACAAAATTTGAAATTCTATTTGTAAATATATATAGAACATCAAAGAGCTGCCATGTACACCAAATTCCCTAATTAACAAAAAAGAACATACAATGAAATTTTGAACAGAAATATAGCAGTATCCTTTAAAACTACATGGCCAATTGGAACACAAATTTTACCACAATGCTTACAGAAGAGATGTAGTTTCAAAATTGTATACATTGATGCCTCTATTTAAACAAACCAAATTATTGCCTTTACTAAAAATAAAACTTGGGGTTAAAACAGGAATTATTATAATAGTTTTTCATGGCTTTCTATCTATTTTTTGTGTATTTAGTATGCAGTTCTTAACAAGTTGTTATTGATTACATGTGAACGTAACATTTTGGTGTACCTTTGACACAGTTATAGCCTTTCACTAAAAAAGTGAATGAAAATGAGGTTCGTCTTACAATGTCAGTGGTCGTTGCAAAATTATTGTGATGATACAAGTAAATCGGGTATAAATTTGTATGAAAAGTATTTATTAATGAATAAAAAGTCTAAGATGTGGTATAAACTTCAATGAGACAGCAACCCAATAACAATAAAAACCAAAAGACAAGTAGAGGTCTAAGGAGCATGTGCCATGGTGAAGATAGTTTCATATTATGAAGGATGTTGTATTATTCAACCTCCTTGATATTACATACTGCAGTAGAGCCATTTTATGATATTCAGAGCTACTTTAAGGAGAGAAAAAAATGGCACAAACTAGTAAACTGAAATAGCCAAAATTTCCAAATGTCAATACTAGATTGAATTAAAATTTTATTTCATTTTGCCTGTTACACATCATCTGTTGAGATGAAGATATTAAATTTCGAAAGTATTGACAATACATACTCCATTTCAGATCAATTCAACTAAGTCAATTATTCCTGTTGACATTAGATGTTTAATCTATAAAGAAGGGTTCCACCCCATTATTGATTTAAGGACCGCCCATCTACTATGACTGGTTCACTGGACTGGTTACAGGTATGTTTACCAGGTGTAAAAAAATCCACATGGTTTGAAATGAACCTGATGTCACATTTCACTCAGCTTGTTACATCAGGTTGTTATTGTTATTAATTCATTTGTAACATGCATGTTAATTTACATGGATTATGACATGGAATTGGATTATATATAATATGGAAATGTTATTTGGTGTGGAATTTTAAATTTTCAACTAATTTTAAGTTTCTAAAGATGAGATATGAAAATGCAGATTAAATGTTTACATTTGAGGAATGTGCATTTAAAAGCATTGATTATTGTACTAAGTGTCTTCATGCAGAAAACTAAAGGTAAATATCCGATAACTGAAAACTTTATGCGAGATCAAAGAAAGGGTGTATTCTGCTAATTTGTATGTGCAATGTAGTAAATAAAATTTCACAGTATTTGTAATAACTTAAAAATGTATTCATATGCATTGAAACTATTTAGAACAGTGTTAACAATCATAAAGGAGTAACAAGTAATTGATTGCTCTGGTGAGATGGAAAATCAAGCTATCTAAGCCTTTACAAAAGTAAAGTTTCAGAGGAGGGGGGCATTTTTTTTTCTTTAGAACAATAAAAATTGAAAGCCTCCCTTAAAATCTTTTTACAAATTTCTGAAAAGGTAAAAAAATATTTTAAGACAAAATTGAACATAATTGTATGATCCTCTTCAGTGAGATAATTGGGAAAATGTTTTATCTGATTTTATTTGGGAGCTTCTCTGATTCATAAAAATTGACACTAAGTTACAGTTCTTTGGGATCAAAAGATCACTGTATCATCCATAAGAATTTGAAATTTGAATGTTTGAAGTAATAGCTATTTGATATCATTGTCTTAGTCCAATATTTGGCAGTTGATGAAGATGTTTCTTCTATACTTCTACGATGGCTGGTGTCTGAGGGATCTCATAGGCATTTTTTTTAAGTTGAAGCATGAAGCCATGTACCTCATATATTAACATAAATTGTAATGCATATATAACTCAAATTTCATTTTTATTTTGTGAATAAAGTACTCAAAACACGGTTAATTACACTTTAAAATATACCTTTGATCTCTCGTATTCATATTACAATCCTTATTTACAATAAAATATTGAAGACCCTATTTCTTCTCTCTTCAAATTCATATTTTTCAGACCAGGTGTGAAAATGTTTTATACATTCCAAAAGTTTGCCTTTTTAATGTGAGACAAATCTTTTTTGACAAGAATACTTGGTTGTACTTGAGGTTTCACCTCTAAATAAGTGATCTTTTATTATATAAGCATTAAATCTGCTATACAGGGTCGATCAGCTGATTTGAGACAGATATTTTTACCTATATGTATTACATGCGTCTGTGCACCTATTATAAGATATAGGTGACAGGCTTTTAGGTGTGAAAAAAAGCTAAGTACATTAAAATCTCATTAAGATAGTACATCTTGTATTTAAAAAGATTTTTTTTTATTAATAGACAAGTCCTATTGAAATTGTGAAGATTTTCTACATTCTTCTGTTACTTTCATATCTACCAATTGTTCTGGATTATCTACCAATTGTTCTGGATTATCTACCAATTGTTCTGGATTATCTACCAATTGTTCTGGATTATCTACCAATTGTTCTGGATTATCTACCAATTGTTCTGGATTATCTACCAATTGTTCTGGATTATCTACCAATTGTTCTGGATTATCTACCAATTGTTCTGGATTATCTACCAATTGTTCTGGATTGAGGGGAAAACAGAAATTTGATGGTGGTTTTAACAATGTTCTGCATACAAACCTTTAGGAAATTTGTATTTTGTTGAACACTTAAATTTGTGGTTTACCTGTTCTCATGAAACCATGCAAAAAGGACCCCACAAATAACAGATAAACCATACTATATCCAGTCTGTTAGTTACTGTGGTTAAAAAAAAAAGTCAAAATGAAAATTATAACCACAATAATAAATGATTATTTTGGGGATGTCACTCTCAAAACCACCTTAAAATTCCTTTAAAATTTGATTTTATAGTTTTTTTCTGACTAGAGTAGTGCACGAGTAGGGACTAGCAACTAATAACTTAAGGTCAAGCCTAATGTAATTTTAAATTCAATTTTTCAGTTGCACGGATAGGAAGCTGTAGCTGATACAACCAATTAATTAAATATTCTTGAAGCATAAAACTTTTGTTGCACCACAAAAATTGATACCAATTGCAGTCCAACTACACCAACTACAGATTAATGGAAGAAATTCATCCTTTTGTTTTGTTTTTGACTGTCTTTAAAATATCTTTTGAAGTTTCTTTCCACCCATGAATAAATTTTATGATACTTAAAATTATCATGGTTAATTTATCAGTTAAACTTTGACTTTATATTAGTTTTTTACTTGTTAAATCATGTATGAATGAAGACTGTCAGTTAAGAATTTTACTATCTAATATAAACTTTCTTTATCTTCTATCTATATCTTTATGTTTTAAAAATCTTTGGAGCAAAAAACATTCATCTTTACAATTAGTTGAGCATGAAAGTTTTTTCACCTAATAACAAAAGAAAATGTTCTAAAAAGATATTTTTGTGAGCCATTCATTTTAATTGGCATACAGGTTAAAAGGAAGTCCTACAGCTGGAACAATGAGTCTGATTTTTGAGAAAGAAGTAAATCCTTGAGAGTATTGTTCATTCATAGACATTTTTTTAGACTGAAATGAATAATCATGAATTTAAAACTTCCTATTTGCCTAGTTAAACTTTTTTAAAGAATGGTTGTATTGGAATTTCTCACAAACATTACCCCTTTTTGGGGGCTTATCATACTTAACAAAAAGGGCCCACCAAGATAGTGTATGTGTAACTTCAAAAATTCCTGAGACTGTGAAGGCAGAACTGAATTTTTTTTTGTAGTGCATCTTCATCATGTTTCTTTCCAAGTTAGCAAAAATTGTAAAGCAAGCCTCCTAAAAACAAGATTGGCATAAAATTTTCATATCCTATTGTTATCCAAATCGTAATTCAAAGCTGTCATTTGCAGTGAAATTTTGACATAGATTCATTCTGGGTCCATTGTGGAACACTAAACTTTCTTCTTTTAAGTCATAAAATAACATGTCATTTTTTTTACACCAAATCCCTTTAAACTTTTATCCAAGTATGAAAAACTAAACTTCTGGAAAAACACATGTATAACAATTCTCATAAATTGTTTTATACAATTTCAGATTTCTGTCCTGACTTTAATTTTGATTGAAATTTGAATTGTATGATCAATTACAGGTATAAATATTTGCAGAATCAACAAAACTGCATTAGACAAAAATTAAATATCCACTATGTCAAACATGGAGATAAGATCAGAATACAGAGAAAATAAGACATAAATAAGTAATCCAAGATATCTCAATGATTAGAATTGTATGTGAGCATTGTAACGGATATTCTGAAATAGCAGGTCAACATGATATAGATTTATTTAAATGTATTCTAAGACAAAGTGCACTGAGAACGTCTCTGTTGACTAATGTTTGGATGGAATTCAATTTGATTTAACATCTGATTTTATGTCTGAAAATCTCTGCTATCTTATTTATTGATGTCTACATTTGTTGACCTGTTTTTTTTTTTTATATATTTGAGATATTTAACTTATTTTTTCAAATATATTTTTTGGTGCTACTCACTTGAAATAAGTCTTTTAATTTCCTGTTCAAAATGTGTGAGGTTGTAATAGACATTAACAATTTTTGTTGATTTATTTGAAATTTAACGGTTATAGAGAGATTTTCTATTTTTGATTAACAAACGTCTTTTATACTCTGTGCTTAACCCTTTAGCCCCCAATCCCGCCTGTAGGCGTGATGGCATCAACCATTCTTTGATGGCCCATATGACCCTCCATACCTTTTTTGAACTGCCCCAGCTGAACTGTCATGATAGCAGGGACTTCAACCAAGCAGTTCATGGTCCATAAACTCTTCTCAGATGTCTGTTCATGAAAATATGGCACTTTGAAAGCCGTTTAAGAGTTCAAAATAGGAAAAACGTGAAAAGTAGCCAAAATCAGGTGGAGGTGGGCATCTTTTGATGGCCACTACGTAACTGGTAGTGACTGTAGGTATAAACTATTATCATAAATGCATGCATAGGTGGTACAGGAACACAACGAGGTATAATATGGCCAATAGGAATCTAGTCTGTAAAATCTAGGTCACCGTTTTGTCAAAAATCCGTAAAAACGGACATTTAGGCAGACCTGACTAGACAATAATAATTCCCTAGCAAGACACTTAAGTCCAATATACTCCCAGTTAGCATGAATGGACTGCTGTAACTATAGGGTAATACTTGAATGACAAAGAAAAACAGTCTGGTCAATGTTCACCTCTCAAGGTCGTTTTAAAATCGGAAAATAGACGGAAAGTTAACATTTTTCAGTGGGGGTGGGTTCAAACCCACGAGAAAATTTTTGAAAATGCCTGATTTTCCAGAAATCTCTTGGGGGCGAATGAGTAAATACATCAGGGGTGTACAGAGTTTGAGGAGGAGTATCAGTTAATTCTTTCTGTAAAATATTTTTGAATTCAGATTAGATTTTAAGGTTGGTCATAGCAATTAGGGGGGCTGGACCAAGGGGTGTTTAGGGGGGGAATGCCAAAGCCCCTTTTAGCTGATGTCCCAAAATCAGTTTTTTGTACATTTTTCTTAGTTTTGGTTTCTGGGTCCCTACCCCTTATTGTTTGAATAGCCATGCACCCAATCTTCTTTTAAAAATACTGGATCTCCTGCTGGCAATTTTGGAGCCTTGCCATTTCATTACAATATGATTACTTACAAATAGCCAGAGACACCAAAGTAATCTTGAACTATTGGTAATTATAAATGGGGACATCACATGACATGACATTAAGAATAATATTTGTAGCATACGTTAAGATTCTTAAGTAGAGTTTCAAAGGAAGTCTTTGGTATATATCAATGAGACAGCAACCTAATGGCAGAAACATAATAAGAGGTCATTATACAGCCTTCAACAATAGAAAATTGTCTATAGTATACCATATGTCAATATCTAAAAAATACTCAAAGTCTAAAAAAGGGAAAAACATTAAACAGTTGTTATCTTAGAAATGTTAGGGTTTCTATAGTACTTAATAATATTAGCACAACTTATTAGCGAGATAATTCGTTATAGGACAATACGTGGAAATGTAAATATAACATCTGAAGGATGAATTTTACACAAAACCTTTAATAATCTTGACCAGCCAGTGGACTTTCAAAATGTCATGCAGCAATTTTTATATTGAACTATGTTCATTCTGTAGGGCTCTTATTAAATCTTATAAAGGAAAATTAAAGATGCATATTACAATTTGTCTTCATTTTCAGTCCTCCAAAGTATCAATTTTGAATGATGTCCTCTCATAAAATGATTTTAATGGCAACTTGTAACTATTGAAATTACAGGGCACCATACAAAGGGCTGTTGGGAAATTGTTCTTTGAACTTTGAGTATCAAAGCTTTATTGTAAAAGAAAAATATGGGAGCCAGGCGGCCAGTGATGATAATAAATGAGGTCTTAGAATATAATTATAGGATATTTTCTTATTTGATTGCTAAATGTCCAGTGGCATATATTAGAATTACATGTTGATTATACACCTCAAATTATGATCAATAATTGATAACTTTATCATTTTTGTCTAAGCAGTGTACAGGTTAGAATCTGAACTCAATATTCTACAGGTTTGATACCCTGTTCTTATGTGGACCCTTTTAATAATAAATCTGCCGTGAAGAGAGTAGGTTAAAAAGTTTCTAGTTAATAATTAAGATTGTGACACACCTGGTTAAGTGGTCATTGACAAACTGATCTTTGGTTAATTGATTCCTTACAAAAGTAATTAGTCTTCTAAAACATTAAAACTGTTAACTTTTTTTTTAAATTGAATTAAATTAGAGGTCATCACCTTGACAATCAAGTTTATTAAAGCAAAGAAAACAGCTAGTCATGTAAACTCTTAAATGTGTTGAATTAAATTAAAATTGTCTAAATCACCAGTTAAATGATTCTGTTCTAAAACATTACAACATTTAACTTTTATTAATTAATTAACTTTAAGGTCAGCACCTTGGTAATTGAGCTGATTAGAGCAAAAAATTCAACACCTCATGAAACCTCTGAAATATGTTTTGTCATTCAGCTTGTCTAAACGGCTAGTTTCACATTGTATTGTTTTACCTCTTTTCATGCAATGTTGGAATTTTTAAAGTTATCAGGATTAATCAACTATACTGGGTTCCAAAATCACTATGAAGTATTGCTTTCCTGTTAACCATTTTTTAAATCCCTTATACAGATAGATAAAATACTTTAGAAGTCGTCATTGGCCTACAGTAGGCAAAAATACTTTTTGTAAAGATTACAAATTCAGCAGATTAGCACAGTTAAATGAAAATTTTAGCTTTTAGGCCACTAGGTAAAAAGACATTAAAGATACATTTCTCAATTTTACATTTTATATTTTGCACATGAATTTATTATTGTATATAATAAAATAGAGAATGGAAATGTATATAGTTTGTCAGTTAATATTCATATTGGTCAATATTCTCTGTAGGCTTGTAGAGCTTGCATTTTTAACAGCACATTAGAACTATTTATTTAAGTTTGTTTTCATTTTCAGGAGATTGTTTATATGAAGGCAATACATACAAGGTAAGTCAAAATACATTGAATGAGTTACCTCCCATTGTTAAGAGAAAGGATATTTTTAACCCTAAAATAATTCGGTTGTTATACGCTGCTATATGATGGCTACATCAATGCCTGAATGCCTAGCTAGTCAATGAATTATACCATTAAAGTCCTTATAAGAAATCTCAATTAGTTTATAAGATATCTTTTTAGTTTTATAAGATATCTTGAAAATGAGAAATTATAAAAACAGCTTGACATAAATACCTCTCATAGTTCGTGTCATGATGTCTTGATACTTATTCTGTAATTTTTGTAGTATTTTTGGACTTTCAAATACTAACCTTTAGGATTATTGGAAATATATGCACAACAATGCTGTATACTTAAATAATTTGTAGATTTATTCAAAACACATTTTTCTACCCATAAATTATAATTTCAAATTGCAAAAAATTATTAGCCCGTAGTAAAATTAATGACATATTTTACATTACGCTTTGGTGCATTATGCAAAGTAGGTTTTTAAACAGAAGCTGTTAAATAAAAACTAGATACCTTTAACTTTGAACTGAATCACCTGTGATCGGATACTTGTAATGTCAACCTTAGTAATGAATTTTAATTATCGGCTAATGAATTTATGTATATCACATAATAGTGTTGATATTTTCACTTTGATGCTATTAAATAGAATTATTTATTTCACAGTTTTATCAGGAGACAATGATAACTTATACTAAAGACTCCCACAGTTCTTTATTATATTTGCATAATCCTGTTCTAACCTTCACTTAATCTTGTAACAATGTAAATACAACCTCACTCAGCATTGTTTGATTTTTAGATCAAAACTGGAAATTTACATTAATATTAAATTTGTTCACTTTCATAAGTATGGAATTGTTTGGAAAGTCATTTTTCAATTATTCCAAACTTGGTGGACAATTTCGATGTTTGTCTTGAATCCAGCCCAAAAATGTTAGAACTGCTAACTTATAAATTCAAATTTATTTTTGGATAAAATTATTTGTTATTTATGTTTATACATTCTTTCAGAAGGACTGGAAACTCAATCTTTTAAGACATGGCATAGAAGAGTTCTTTAAGGAATTTTCACCTATCATGCTCTTTTCTTTATTTATGTTTAAACTTATCTGAAAGACTGTCTTTTACTTTATATTTGCAATTTTTTTTAAATTTTCAGAACATGCTTATTCATTGAAAGATTAAAACTGACATATTTATGATGTGTTAGCTATGATTAAGGTTGACTAGACTCTTTTGAAAGAAGATGACCATCTACACCACAATGTAATACATATTGAAGATGTCTGTCTTTGATTACACCTTGCATTACACAAGGTGCAGGTTAAATTTTTGAAATATGCATGTCTCTTCATTTGAATTGTATGTATACAATAGATGTATAATTGTGCACTTGGTAAGGACAAAATATAAAACTATTTTGTTTAGGGGTTTCTCTACCAACCAAAATTGGCTTACTTATTGCAATTCATGAGTATTGAAATCAACAATTTGAATCTTTGAATTATTTTTTTTGAACAGAAATTTCTAAAAAGCCCCCCAAAGTAAAAGTAAGTGATGGTATTTTAGAAAGATATTCTGCTTTCTAAGGATTTAGTTCTTAAATTTGATTTGATTTCAGTTTCCAAATGCAGATTTTTATCCATCAATGTTAATTTTCATGTATTGTTGCAATTGTAATTGGAATTGTAATTATAAATCAAGAATTTCATTATGAAACTAAGAGGTGAGGTTTGGCATACCAAAAATAACAGCTTGTTTTATTTCATCTCTTTTATTTAAATGATAGTTGTAGAGGAACCAGAAATCTTTGTAAAACTGTGAGAGAAGTCTTTATTTCATATAGAATTGCATGCACCCCATCCTCTCAAAAGTGTTTTAAAGTGTAATTTGTGAAATACACTAGGAAGAGATGAGAGACAGATTGAAATCTTAACACTCCAAACATTCAGCACCTGAGATAAGTCAACTTGTTAGTCAGAAGAGGTTCAGAAGATAGACATCAAACAAAACTCTCAAGTGTCTAAATCCTCAAGTTTTCTTTAATATTGATAATGCTATTACATCATTACTTTTTGAAGAGGGTATGATATTTCCACAATAAACAAAGAGTTTACAAATTCTTATCTTGAATATTACCAATGGGCTGTCAGTATTTCAATAACTATTCCTTTTTGAAGAGGGAGATGTTGCCAAACTTGTGACTGATCCATTTGTCTTTTGAACAATACAATACGTTTAATTTAATTCCCGTTGGACACTTCAGCTTCCTCCACCAACAAAAAGTGACCGCTGCAAAATAGCCAATTAAGTCCTGAAAGTGGCATTAAACACCTATCAATCAATCAATTTAAACTTATACCTAATAATTATGTTTGAATATGAATAAAAATGAGATCTGTAAATTGACTGGTTCCTTCAATTTGATAATTAAAGAAAAAGGAAAGAAAAGGAAAAGCTATTGTTATTATCATATCTTTGAGTAGTTTCCATCGGTTGAAGTTGAAATGTCTTTGCTTATGTTATAAATATTGACTTTCAAAGATGCTAATCTTCAATACTTGTCAATGAATCAATATAATTGTACTTTTGAATTAGTAAAGGTGGTGTAAAAAATTGATCATGGCGATCAAATTAAAATCAGGATGATTTTTCCATGTCATATATTAATCCATAGGTATATTAAGAGATTAGGAAATTGCAAGTTAAATTCCAAACTTATCGGCATGGAAAATGACTAGAACAGGTTGTTTTATTTAAAGAAAGTGATGGGTTAAGCCAGGCTTTACAGTGCCAAACCTTGTACAAAAATAAACTTATCTGCAAGTTCTTTGTTGGTTAAAAGTAATATAAGAAAAAAGCAAAAGATTTCCATAGATATTTAGTCTGCCATTAATCCTGAAATAAAAAGGTTACAATAATTGGTTAACAGGGTGATGACATTTAATTCCACACATACATGTAAAAACTAAAGCACATTTGTTGTTGGAAAATTATTTTTATATGCAAAAATCATTGCATAAATTCTGGGGCATATTGTCACTTGTCCTTTAATGGCCAGCAAAAGTTTGACCTAAAAAAATGGGATTTACTTTTACTGGCCAACTGTCAATCATGTGTTTTTGACTTATCAAAATGAATCAAAAAAATCTGTGGTGTTGAGGATGGGATGTACTTTTACAGGAGTATTTGGATATTCCTTATTTTTTAGTAGAGGATTAGGTTGAAATAGAAGAAAATATTAAACTTGACACAGATTTTATTGTTTGTCACTTTCTTTGACTTTATAGTTGTACAAGGAATTAGACCTATAGAATATATGGTATGCCTCATTAGGTCCCTATAAATTTTATGTCAACATTTTACACCTTTAAGACATTAATTTGTAAAAACTACCACCTTAAGATGATAAAGTTATAAGGATCGACACTTTAACATAGGTCGTAATGTTTATTTCAACAAAAGTTGTCTATTAATACTTACAGTCTGCAAACATTTACTTTATAATTCGACTTTGTGACAATTGGTCTTCTTTTTTTCTTTTTATCCACCATGCAGAAGGAATTTCAAATCTTTTGTAAATAAAAAAGCTTCAATTTTGAAGGGCATTGAAATAATGGCCTTCTTTTACTTTAGGGGACTTTAAACGTTGTGAAAAAAATGAGGGGACTCATAAAAAAATAAGATTTTTTGGTAGTATAATTGCTATATATATAGGTTGTGGGTCCCCTAAAGTAAAATAAGGCATTATAGCACTTCTTAACTATAAGGGACTTGTATAAATATCATACAGTTTTATAGTAATTGTTTCTTTAAATGTGTATATAGGTTGTGGGTCCCCTAAAGTAAAAGAAGGCATACTACTAGCACTATTTTACTTAAGGGGGCTGAATTGGAAGCTTTAAAATTTTACCTTTTTTACCATAAAATCTGCAAAAATCATAAAGAATATGCTATAATATGTTATAAAAAACAATTTTAGAAAACGTATCCATATTTTGTTTACATAAAAAAGACAAAAAAAATCTTGTATAGACACAGTCCCCTAAAGTAAAATCTAGGAATTTTGAGTCCCCTGAAGTAAAAGAAGGCCGAAATAACAGAGTAAAAAAATCCTTATAAACTTGCAAGACAAAAGAGGCTGACGGTACCAAAGGGACAATAAAAAAAACAGTATATTGAAGAAAAACCGACAATGACATAAAAAAGACAAAAAATACAAACAACAATACAAAGCAATACATGTATATAGGAAACTTTAGACTGGAGAATAAGTTCCATATGAGCTGACATGTCATTTAAACTCAACTTTTGAATATCTAATATAATTAAGTCTTAATGAAAGGTATCTATAAATGCTTTGGAAGACTGCTGAGTTTTGATTCACTGTAGACAGAAAAAAATACACTAGTATTTATAAAAAAAGAATATGCTGAATATGGATTTATATTTTAATAAATTTTATGAGGGATAGGTTAAAATCAGTTTTAAAAACTGATAATATTCATATTGTTGTAATCTTCTACCAGCTTTCATGTGAACATTCCTAGTTAACAGTTAAATGTAACTGCTTGTAGATACAGAGCAGCCTGTATCTTACAGGTAGGAAAGAAGCAAGTACTGGTACACAGAGAATGTTGACTTAATCCTTTAAGGAAGTGTTTTATTTGTCTTGTTAAACATTAAAATTGTGTAATCTGACAAGTTTTGATTTAAGCTCAAGTTGTTTCATGTTATAATGATTGTTTTAACTGAATGTTTGAATCACATTACTTTTAGTGCAGAAAAACTTTGTAAACAGAAACTAATGCTATTGATAGAGTATGCTAATTTAAAGATGTCTTTTACTTTTTTTGTGTTTTTGGGTTGCTGTCTCATTTATATTAATTCAGTCTGCACAGTTAGCCATTAGTCTGATGCCCCTGACTAGTAAAATTTTATTCAGACTAGTAAGTATTTGCAAAACTTTGTTA